ACACACTGTCTGGATCACTGTGGAGACAAAATAAAGAAGTTTGTGAGATTTCATTCAAAAAAAGTAACCAAAACAAGCAGATAAGACTGATGGAAATGTAGTAAGCTGTCAATCTGCGGCTGAGGGTCTCATACTTACAGATTCATAACTTTTGCGCTCTCGTAGACACCGACGGTGATGGAGTCGTTGTCTTTAGCCGACACCAGGACCTCCTCCAGGGCTTTGCCGGTGCACTGAGCACGCTCGGTGGGCTTCTGGATCAGAACTTCCTCAAGAGTCATGATGAAGACGGTGGAGATATTCCGCAAAGGGAGAGCTTTAGAAAGGTTTGGACGGAGAGTAAAATCCGGAGCAGAGTGCTTACAAACCCGCAGCCTCCCTCTTTTATACCCTGCAGCTCGTGCGGCGCAGTGAAAGCGCTGCGCCCTGATTGGCTCGAGCTGAATGGTGTATTGGTATGATAATGCTATTGTCACACTCTGGCTCGTGGCAGATTGATGGGGGTCATCGAGCCGCGCACGCTCCCCCTCGGAGCGCAGCAGCCACGGCCTGAAACTAAAAATAGCTTCATTAAAAAAAGAAGTTTGATCGCTCTGCAGCACTTTATGCACACTGGAGGAAACAGAGCAGGGGACTGTATCTGCAGGGATGCACGCTGGACATCGGTTGCACTTTTACATGCATGTATAATCACTCTTATGTATGCACAGAAGTGGAACGTTGCCCTTTTTTGGAAACAAAAACTAGTTACAGACCAGTTTTGGCCCCATAATCCACTTTTCAGTTTTCAAAGAACACTAAATATGAACTCCACTAAAATGAAACTCAACAAACTCTCAATAGTTTTTCTTAAATTTTAGGTTTTTGGTCACAGTGTTTAAGCAGCAACATGGAGAAAGTGTGGAGAGCCCCCTCCCCCCTCGCTCAGCAGAGAGAAAGGGCAGGTGGATGATGCCATCTGTGGACTAGAGGCTGGCCATAAAACGGCCTCATTGTGCGCGCAGAAGCCCTCTATTATTACGGCCCCCATACAAATGCAAATGACCAGCGCGTGCCAGAACGCTGTGCGTGCTGCGCAATCTGCACTGCTGGCCCATGCGGACCACGTGGCCATCAGCTGTCCAGAAAATCCTTCCTCGGTTTTTATTTATTTACTCTGGGGAGTTCAGGGGCCACACGGACTGCATTCTATAGGAAAACTTGTGAAGTTCATTGCACTTCTGTTTGGTATTTGGTGCGTAGAGCCATCAAATGTCTTCATCTGTGATTTTATTTAAACTTACTTCTGACAACTTTCTGTTTATTTCTGATCACCTTTTAAGCACCACGAAACTTTTACGCACAGCTTTATTTCTATCTGTTCCACTGACTGAGGAGTTTATCCCCTGCAGCTCGTGCTTATTTTGTTATGTATTAAGTATTTTGTGTGAATCCACTAAATGTCTTTATCTGTGTTTTAAATAAACGTGTTTCTGACAGCCTTCTGTTAATTTCTGATCACTTTTACGCATAATGAAACTTTTACGCACAGCTCTATTTCCACTTATACAACAAGTTCTCCCCAACATCCGTGCATATTTGGTTATATTTTATCTGCATAATATTCCAAAACACATCTTGCATCAGGTCAGACCTGCTGCCACTGCTGCGTAAATAGAGGAGGGGGCTGGAATGGAGAGGCGGTGCAGGAGACACAGGTTGGCGGTGATTGATTCAGCGCTATTGTTCTGCGGAAGGCAGAGCGGCAGATGGAGAACTGTCGCTATGAGGGACCCCCCCCCTTCTCTCTCCTAAACCCAGGTCAACTCCGACCCCAGGGCGCGCCGTTCTTTTGTCTACAAGTCTCCACATTCGCCGATCTGTTGTCTGAGTTTTGATTAAATTTGAATGCCAAAGAGGAGTGCTTCTGGTCCAAACTTTCACAATCAAAAGTGTTACCTCCAAAAGAGGCCAGACGCGTAAAGGCAGATAAAATCACTTTCAGTTTGTGCTGTAAACACATGCATGAATGCTGAAAGTGTGTTAAACAACAAAAAGTCGTTTCTGCAGCAGCATACACTGCAGCAACACACTCCTTTGTTTGTTTCTACATCGCTTTCAGTTTCTCTCTGCGTGCTGCAGACTCATCACCCCCTCAGCTGGCAGAGAGAGGCTCACATTTGGGCCAAAGTTTGATTTGGATCCAGCTGATTGAGACTCAAACACTGAGCTATTTTAGGAAGGATCAGCTTGCATGGCCGCAGGGCAGGCGCGTGCAAATCGATACCGACCTATTGTTGCTGAAGCACATCTGCCAGACGGAGGCCTCTCCGGCAGCGCGCGACAGGTGTTGGTGGTCAAAGCTGTTTTCTGGTGACCTGCGGCGACTCCTTGAAGCCCTAAACCTCTTTGTACGGATAGAAAGTGTCTAAAGCTGCAGGATAAGATGATATATATCTGGCATCTGTTGTGCGCAAATATGACTAAATATTAGGGAAAACAGGCTAATATTGAAGAACATGAGAAAGTGTATACAATAAATAATTATTTATTTTTTGATGAATATGTGTTATTGAGCTATAAAACAAGCAGAGCTCAACAACCTGAAGTGTGATTTAGCTAAAGTCGGACTTATAATATCATCAGAAATCATATTTGCAGGGGAATTAAAAGCGGCCCTCACGTCCAGCAGGTGCTGCCTGACTTACTTCCTTTGTCCACCCTTCCCCTCACCTTCCCCCCGGGGACAGATGGTATCTCTCGGTTGCTATGGGGAGTGATGCAGACAGAGAGATAAAGCATGCAGGCATCTCCAGATGCCACGCGCCTCAAGTGAGGTCCGGCTTTACGCATGCAAAGCAGCGGCGCGTGCCACTGCCTAATATACAAATAAAGTTCATGCAGTGAAATTGGTCATGAGTTATAAAAGTCTGTCTGACATCCAGTGCAAGTAACACAGTCGATATATGTGCATTAGGACGCTTAAAATAGTACAGAACTGCAGCATACTAATGTTTTTTATCAATATGTTACCTACTCCGTTTACTTTTACTGTATAGTATATGAATATATACTATTTGACAAAGAAAAGGTCTACATGTAATTTAACTTACATATATACTATATATTCTCTTTATTCTCTTAATCTAGAAAATTAGGTCTCTGCAAACATTCTGTAACTTCATAAGAGCCAATCAAGGACAAAAGCAAGCAAACCACTACTGTACTGTAGGGCTACTTTACATATTTGCTGACCATCTTTAAATGTATGCATGTTTTAAATGTATTTTGAATGTATTTTGACAGGTTGTTTTGGTTTCTATTAGTACAGGGACATTCAAAGGTGAAAAGGTATACTGGAGACTTAATCCAACCTTTAACTTTTATCAAACTTTAGGCATGCTACTTTAAGAACAGTCCAAGAACAACATTTATTTTAGACCTCAAGTTTTACAGAAAAAAAACACAATGCAGTAGAAAAGTTATTTTTTATGACATTAATGTAGCCGAAGTGAAACCTTCAATAAGTGTCACATTTTGTGCATTGTTGTTTTCTTTCAATAGTTTGTTGTATTTCAGGACTCAAGGTCAGATTTAAGATGTTTCTCTACCAGTCCAGTCAGCCATTGGCTTCCATTCATTTTCGCACAACATAAAAATTATTCAGCAGACAAAACTTGATATTTGCTTGAATTGTGTGTTCAATCACAGTGGACATCAAGTTTGTATTTGTTCTTTCTTACATTATAAGTTTCATTATAATTGCATGGTACAATACAGTTTTAGTTCAAACCAAAGCTTTTTCATTTGTAAGTGCAGATTGATTTGAAATGTCTGCACTGCATTACCTCATTACAATAATGTACATTATTGTAATGAGGTATTATGGTCTACCATAATGAATGCAGACTTAATGTTCACTATTATGTATTGCACAGCTCAAGCTACATGTCTGCTAATTGATTTTCACTTTGTACATATATGAATGGTTGACTGGACTGGTAAGGAAAATACATTTTCAAAATAAAAAGCTTTGCTTTTAACTTAAACCGTATTAGCATGCAATTATTATGCAACTTTTACAAAAATGAATACAGATTCGATGTTCACTGTGATGGATTATACAACTCAAGCAAATTTCAATAGTCTGCTAGTTGATTTTCACTTTGTACATAAATGAATGGAAGCCAATGGGTGACTGGACTGGTAGGGAAATACTGACTGTGACTTTTGAAATCTGGTGCAATGTGGAAGGCTGCCTGGCAAAAATAAAATTACATTGGTTTGCAAAATGTTCAGCTGTGATGTAAAGTACTGTAAATGTGAACATAGAAAACCCCTTGTATGGTCTTCGTTTGAATGGGAGTCACTGATCTCCTCTAACTCTTCTAGAACTTTGAGGACTTTGACGACAGCAGTCTTGTCTTCCTGTGTGGTTTCATTATTCCTGTAAGCTGAAAGAATCATTTAAAGCTCAGAGAGTTTCTACATCTGATCCTTTCAACCAAAGCTGCCCCCGACTTTCTAAGACTTTTCTATAGGCACGCGTCCCAGAGGGTGGGGTGGGGGCTGTAGGCCTGTTGTAGCCATTGTGCCCCAAACAGCCAATCAAAGAGTGAGCGTGTGCCGGGTCTGCAGTATAAATGCTGGCAGATTCCTGGAAGGAAGCACAAACCCTCTTCTCTGGACTTTCTGATCACATCAGCTGAACTCTAAGCTAATACTTCACCATGCAGTCTCCTGGAAAATCTCTGAAAGAAGCTCTGCTCTGTGCTCAGAGCGAGGATCGACTCACTGTTGGAGTCTATGAGAGTGCTAAAATTATGACTGAGTAAGTAAACTAAACATGACTTAAACAAAACTTTGGCATTCTCTGTTAGACCAACATGATCAAAATCAAACAGCAGCAGCTAACAAGACTTTTTTTGTCCACAGTGATCCAGACAGTGTGT